TTGCCATGCAACAGCAATCGGTGTAGTTGCAAGAGTGCCAGCCTACCATGCACCATGTTCTGTACATGCTCAAACAGTTCCTGTTCCAATGAATTGACACGTGTTGCCGAATTAGAAGTAGACTGGGAAGAAGACCCTGTTGAAGAACCAGTGGCAGACTGATCTCTGTTTGGACAATGTTTGTTTGTTCTTAGCCATAAATGTTTTATTTTATACCAATATGTAATCAATATCAGAATTTCACCTATTACATTGGTTACTTATTCGCTTTTTTGTACAATAAAAAGTTGTGTTCTTTAAAAATAATTATTCACTACACCTTTATATTACAAAATGCCGATTATTTTTAGTTGTAGATTTAAATTATTCTTTTTTATATGGTAAGGACTTCTAAGAAATGACTATTTCTAGATACTTTTTAGTGCTTCCATTGAACTCAGCATACATAAAAACATATAAAATGATATGCAACAACCCTATATTACAAATATAAAAATAATCCTAAAATATTTTGAAAAATTCAAAATGGCGGCGGTTTCTAGGAAATTACTATTTCAAGATACTTTTTAGTGCTTCCATTGAACTCACCGTATATAAAAACATATAAAACTAGTTAGCCGCCCGTGCTCCGCCACGGGAATATTGTTAAATCAAATAAAATCAAATCAAAATCATGTTTATTTCAGTAAGTAAATACATTGTTACAATACTTTGCCAGTAAAAATTTCATAGTTATGCAATGATATAAATAAATAAAATAATATACTAACATAGTCATTAAATATGAAATGCCTCTCACATAGGCTACTACCACATACGCTATCAGGTAATAATAATATTAGAAATTGAAAAAAATAGATAAAATATAAGACATAATAATTAACAAATACTTTTTATCTTTGTATTTTATTTAGGGACTGCTTTTTTTATATGAAGTAGAACGGATAGTTGGGCCTGTATAAACTATTTATGTTAATCAAACCAATATATTACTTTAACCAAATGAATGTTTAAAATTAATTCTAGTTACATTTGAAAAATAAATGGTGTATGAACTGCACAATCCTGATAACCTAATAAGCTACTTATGCTATGGAGATAATTTGTTAATGAATATTCCTACATTCGTTGTTTTCTTGTTCATTACATTTGTTGTGCGGAATAAAGATAGTAATTTAAATCACGCATCAGCAGTTGGCCGCATTTCACGGATCTTTGACCCATTCTGTGAGTAACAGCTGTGTATACGTCGTATAGGCTATAATATAAAGTTGGGCATACTTTGGTTCAATGTTAGAGGGTATTAACGAATCCGATGGTAAACGGAGCCCCGGATCTTAAAATTATATAGACTACCAGAATGATGTTTCATCTAAGTGAGACTTATAAACTCGCCATTGCAAATGCAGAGTTGTAAGATCTTATGTTATTCAAATAGTTTTTTTTGTTTCTTTTACTTTATTTATAGCCTATGTAGTCCATGATGATAAGATGAACTCAGAATGTCGATAAGGAGCTAATTTTACCTTCCCCTTGTGACAACATAAGGAGAAAATACTTGTGTCGTGTCCCTGTTAGTCTGTTCTGACTCTAAATTCATAGATTTGCAGTAGTAAAAAATCCAATCTAACGACCCCAATTCAAAAGAGTTGGTGTTTTTTGTTTTAGGAACTTCCAGAGCACATTTAACACTATCACTGTTATTTACTTTTTAGTTCCATGGTTCTCCACATTTTTTTTTCGTTCTGGTTGTCTCTTTACGCACAGTTTCCACCTTTTCTTTTTGTACTTTTCACACCCTGGGAGATATGATAAAGTTGTATAACACTGTAATAACCCGAGTCAAATTTGCCTTTAAACATCAAATCACACACTTTTTTCGCCAGAACCGAAATCGTAAGTCACAGTTTCTCAAGCAACTTCCCTGTGTGCCTACTGGAAAAAATAGTTAGGGTATAGTTCACTGATAATTTGTAGTTCTACATATCCAGAATACTCGCCATCTCGAGAAGGTAAAGATTGGTACTACTGAACGTCAAACACTGATCTTAAGTAAGATTCATCATCACCTACGATAAAATGTTTGTATGTTTCCCACTCATTAGCAATTATCTGCACAACTTGCAAGTGGGTTTCCCCATGATTGTTCTGGTGGGATAAATGATTTTGATCGGAACAAACAGTTCCCGTCCCCTACTTTCGGTATTATTTCACGTTCCTTCCATACCCTAACTCAAACTCAATTACTCGTAATCGCCATCTCTAGAAGGTAAAGTTTGCTACTGCTTAACGCCAAACACTTACCTTGAGTTATATTGATCACCTATGATAAAATGTTTGTATGTTTCCCACACATTAGGCTGGTTTTATGCACCGCAACAGTCGCGTGTCGCGGTGCGACTCAAGTTCTATTGAGTTAAATGGGAGCATTTATGCACCGCGACAGCAACAAACTGCCGCGCGAGCGACTCGGAGATCTCTAAATACCCGCGACAGGTTTTAGAATCGCAGCTTCAAAAAATTTGTCGCGCGCGGTTCAAGTTCTATTGGATCAAATGGGCAGGTTTATGCACCACGACAGTCGCGGCGCGACAGTAGTATTTTTCATACTCCAAGTGGTATATTCTCCATATATTTATATTGATTAATGTTAATAATTAGTATATAAATGAGTTCTTTACCCTTTATTTGTAATATAAATTACATCATTATATTATGTAACGACATTTTTAAGAGGGTTGACTCAATTCCAACTGTAAATTGTATGTGTTGTTTAAATAACTGGGGTTTTGTCATTAACGTGTACAACACTACAGGGTCTATGTTTAAACAACTTAATAATCACTTCTACATCACAAACACAACACACAACATTGGATTGAGAACAGACTGATTTCTTTAATTCCTCCACCACCGGTTGTGAGTTTGCGCGACAAAAAAGTGTCGCTGTCGCGTGACATTTTGGTCAGCCGCAAGACGTGGCGTGACTCGCGACTCGCGACTGTCGCTGTGCATAAAACCAGCATTAGCAATTTTCTACACAACCTGCAAGCGGATTTCAATATGATTGTTCTGGTGGCCGTAGGGAATAAATTATATTGATCGGAATAAACAGTTTTCGTCCCCTACGTTGGGTATTATTTCATGTTCCATACTCAAACCTAAAATCAATTAGCACTTTCCTTTAAATCAGTTCGCAGGAAAACTAATACAGTGTACGAAAATACAAAATTTACACCAAAACATAGGCTACAAATATTGTTTAAATAACACATTTTGGTATAATAAGTTAACAAATACACTTTTCCTTGATCAAAATCCTGTCTGTTTTTAACAGGAACTTCTAGATTAATAATTACATACCGAAATTGAGGTTATAAAAATAATAACAAATGTCTGACAAACATTAAACAGCTGACAAATCATTTATAAACTGTGTATTATAATCTTCAAAAAAATTGTATTGACTCGACCTTTGAAGGGCTATAGTGCTTAGCCCTTAGAAAAAACGTAAATTCTAAGGAAGTTCGGCAAATCTACGCATTACATCCTTTAATTTGAGACCTACATCTTGTAGATCGGTCCAGTAATAACTGAGAAAACAGTGTTACAACTGTGTATTAAATATATAGATGATATACAACAACCCTATAATACAAATATAAAAATAATCCAAAAATATTTTGAAAAATTCAAGATGGCGGCGGTTTTTTAAGAAACGACTATTTCTAGATACTTTTTAGTGCTTCCATTGAACTCAGCGTACATAAAAACATATAAAATGATATACTACAACCCTATATTACATATACAGGGTGAATTTTAAATGAGTTCCCCCCTTACTTTTTTCTACATTTCTTAAGATATCATCTCCGGACCACGTCAGATCATTGTTGAGTAGTAAGTACTTCATTTTGACTGGGTATACATTTTTGGCCGCCATCTTGGATCCGCCATATTGGATACAAAGTTTTTTTTTCAAATGTAAAGGTAGGGTTGTGACCCATTATTTCAAACTAGAATTTTACGCTGATTACAATGCCGCAATTAGTTTTTAAAAATCTTGATCCGTTCTAAAGTTATGAGGACTTTTTATAGCTTTATTTTTAGCGCATTTTAACATTGTGCATTTACAAACTAAGACCATAATCTCAAAATAGTGCTAGATAAAGATAGGTATACACCACCATTCATTGCCGACATATTTTCTCTTGGTTATGACGGATATTTCAAAATGGCGGATCCAAGATGGCGGCTGAAAAAACTATACCCGTCATAACCAAGTAAAAATATGTCGGCAATGAATGGTGGTGTATACCTATCTTTATCTAGCACTATTTTGAGATTATGGTCTTAGTTTGTAAATGCACAATGTTAAAATGCGCTAAAAATAAAGTTATAAAAAGTCCTCATAACTTTAGAACGGATCAAGATTTTTAAAAACTAATTGCGGCATTGTAATCAGCGTAAAATTCTAGTTTGAAATAATGGGTCACAACCCTACCTTTACATTTGAAAAAAAAACTTTGTATCCAATATGGCGAATCCAAGATGGCGGCCAAAAATGTATACCCAGTCAAAATGAAGTACTTACTACTCAACAATGATCTGACGTGGTCCGGAGATGATATCTTAAGAAATGTAGAAAAAAGTAGGGGGGGAACTCATTTAAAATTCACCCTGTATATAAATGATACAAAAAATATTTGGGAAAATTCAAGATGGCGGCGAAAACTCGAATTGCCCAAAGGTGACAGAATGTCATCATGCATTTTCTTGAAGCTGTATATGTCCTAGTTACTATCCATAAATAAAAAAAACTTAATCCAAAATTTTTGGGTTTTGGGCTTGGCAACCGGACTATATTCATTCATTTACCTTTCAGCACCAAAGTCGTGTTTACACGAAGTCGGTTGGCAGGTAAGGTTACTTGCCTGAAGTAACTTAAAAATACACTAGTAATCTGCCCCGGGTTTAGTTAGAGTGTGTTATGATTCTAGGTTGTGTCCACTGGCATGTTCTATGGAGAAGAGGCCTACTTTATGTCTGGATGGAACATCATGGACGGTTCACTGGTGATCATCTCCATCATTGACCTGATGCTATCCCTTCTCACAGCCAGCAGCCCTCGCATCTTTGGAATACTCAGGGTAAAATAGAAACTACACTCTTATTTCATTGTAAAATTTCTCTAAGTTGAATAATATTGTATGACTTGTTGTTTCTAGCGCGAGTTACACAATCATGAGGTGCAGCCAGTCTTGAGGTCAGAACACTGACCTTCTGTCTTGAAGGTTAGGGTTCGAGTCCTCTCAATCACCAGTGGAAAATTGCCCTGCATTAGTTCCGTGACCTAGTGATCAAGAACACACCTTAAAATATAGTTTATCTTTGAAGAAAAAACTTTTTAATTTTTTGTTGGGATTTTTTTAGAACAACTCTCATAGCCTAACTTAACTTATTATAAAATTTTAAATCACAGAATAATTTGGTTTACTGTTATCATACTCTTGTTTGTATAGTATCATGCTAAAAAAAATTCTATTCTAAGTAACTATGGACATTATACATTTTTAATTGTACCTACTAGTACGTGCACTCCTAATTATCAACTTTAAAATCAGTTCTTCGTGAGGATATACCTAATTATATCTTTACATGAAAAATCTTCTTCTGCAAAATACCAAAACACCACAGTTTGTGTACAATTATTCTTAGTAAATTAAAAGTAAATTTATACTTATAATAGTCAAATACCACTCACTGATCAATGTATCTCAAAAACTACTAACTATAAGAACTCAGGAATTGGCATGGAGATTTTAACTAGGCTCTAGGTGTGCAATAAGAAGTGTTTCTTTATGTATTTGCAATTGTTGTATAGTTATAAAAGACAATGCAAACCAACTTGCCCAAATTTCAAATACCCTGAAGGATTTTCTGTTTATACATATTTCTGGCACTTGGCATCCAGATTGGACATCAACATGTACGCACAACATTTAATACTTTATTCTGAAATGGCGACCATACGAATGTAGGTATTTTAGGCCAAGTAATGGAGATGATAAAAATTGTTTTCGCTACCAAGCAAAGAACGCCATCTTTAAAGTTATTGTGTGATCCTCCGCAGGTGTTTCGACTGCTCCGTTCCCTCAGACCTCTGCGTGTGATCAACAGAGCCCCAGGATTGAAGCTGGTGGTACAGACTCTTCTCTCGTCACTACGACCCATCGGCAACATCGTACTTATCTGCTGCACATTCTTCATCATCTTCGGCATTCTAGGAGTTCAGGTAAGCGGCTTATTTCTAAATTAAATTTTTGTTATATCTTGAAATTCAAACTAATAGGTCCTACATCATTGACAATATTTTAAAAGAAGAACCTAAAAGGGAAAGAAAACCTAGTTTTGCTGCAATGTTTTTGTTTGCAGTTAATTTTTGGTGATCTGTGGGAATTATTGTGCACATTTTCCAGTATGATTAGTAAAGTCCAAGTTTTCACCTAACACCTAAATACATGTGTTCAGTGTTCAAGGGCCCCCCCTTGAATAACAAATGATTTTGATTTTGACTCGATGTTTTTATTGTATAGACACCCCTCAAACCTCTCCTCAAATGGTTGGATTTATCTGGTTAGCAAACTCAATTGAATATATGGGGTTTATGTATTCAACCACATTATAAATATTTTAGGGGTCATTAACCAATATGAGGTTTATTAAAATTACTGTTATCAAATAATAACATTACAGTATAGTTTTGCCAAAGTTGTGGTCACGGGGTTAAAATATTATCATATTGCTGTATATACTTGAGTGGACGTTTTGGTGTCGTTGCAAAATTTTAATAGATCAGTTCTACTAGCAAATATCAAACCGTTTTGTTGTTAAATGTGACCTTGTATGCCTAACTTCTAGTTAAATGGATTTAATGGCCAAACACGGGGTTTTAAAAGGCTATTATTATTTCTGTTTTGTTACTATCTTAAGTAGATTACAGATTACATATCTCATTAGTTGATTGTGTCTTTACTTTTCATTATTTTTCATTGGCTTGCCCTTACCATTCCTGCAATCTCATAACTGCAAAGACATTAAACTGTCTTTTATCTCTGGCTCTTTGCAAGCTGATCAACAAAAGTGTTAAAGTCAACAACATTACCTTCATTTGCCTACAGCTGTTCAAAGGCATGTTCTACTACTGCGATGGTCCAAACATCAAGAACGTGAGGAACAAGACGGACTGTCTAGCAGACAAGAGGAATGTCTGGGTGAACCGCAAGTACAACTTTGACGACCTGGGGAAGGCGCTGATGTCGCTGTTTGTACTGTCCAGTAGAGATGGATGGGTCAACATCATGTATACTGGGCTGGACGCTGTGGGAGTGGACCAACAGGTATGTGGATGGACAATGACTTGGCTTCAGGGTGAAACAATCGTGCGCGATGGCCGGCCACTGCCGATGGCGCAAACATCTAATTTGCTTGTGGACGAGTGCGCGAAAATTAAATCCAAACTGCATCCCAGTCGTTTGTACGTAGTTTTACAAGAACGCAACAGATGGCAGCACTAAACAATACTACTAGCCGGTGCTCAGTTTTATCAAATGTAGGGAAAAGCAGGGGTAAATTACTTGGGTACACAATAAAAAAAACCGTAAAAAACAATCAAGCACAATTTTAAGGTTAGGTTCCTTCCATGATGCCACAGTACATTCATTAACGTTTTTCTATTGCATGTCATTAGATCCAAGCCACACTACAATAAATTTGTAACTGTCTCTACCACCAATAAAATAGTCGGATCAGAAAACTAATTATACCAGCTTAAAGCATAAAACTGGCACAACAAGCGGCAAGCAAAACAACGTCTCACGGCAGTGGCTAACCTCACATTGGAACAATAGTTTGTAAACAGCGCTTTGACAAGTATCCTCGTCGCACGCCACTAAAAAGCGCTAGCGGCGACAAGATTACTCGTCATCCGCAGTGAACGTGTTAAAATCTCAAATTCTAAGATAAAATATAATTTGATGTTTCTAATTATTTAAAGCATATAATTTTGCCTGAGGGTTGAAGGACATTAGAGGACATTTCTTCGGTTCAGTGACGGTACCATAGTTAGTTCTAGGGTTCAAATCCAACTTTGGTCAAGTCTGGTGTGTAACTCATGAGAAATTCACTTATGTGTGGCAAAGCTTTTTGGGAGAAACCCATATAAAATTACTGTGCATTGCTTGGTTGGAGGTTGAAATCATGGGTGAATTTTTCATAAATTTTCTCCTTATTCATACTGATGTGTGTTTGCCACCACGAAACTTGTTTTGTGAGAAATTTTACTTTTGAACAGAAGTTGCTCAAAATGAATAATTGTTGAGATTCTGGACCCAGGGTTCGGTTGACTTGTAGCTTACTCCGGAGATGGTTGCTGCAACACATTGGCTATTTTTTGCCAATTTGACTATGTTATAATCTCCTAAAGACTAAAATTGCACAGATTACTTTCACCATGGAAGCCTTTATAGTTTCAACTAAGCCATTTGTATCATGATCAATCATACTGAAGGTATTAATATAATCTTTGATGTTGATTTTCAGCCGATAGAAAACTACTCAGAGTGGAGACTGCTGTACTTCATCGCCTTCATCCTCTTGGTTGGGTTCTTTGTGCTTAACATGTTTGTGGGAGTGGTCGTGGAGAACTTCCACAGATGCAGGGAGGAACAGGAGAAAGAAGAGAGGGTGAGGAGGATGGCGAAACGAGCAAAACAGATGGAGAAGAAAAGAAGAAGTGAGTCAAAGATTTTGTTTTTGAACATGCAAATTAGATTGTGAAATCCTTTTTGCGACTTCTGATTTTCTTAAATTGTTTATCACAAACTGTATTTGACTGATGTGCAGTTATATCACAATATTTAATCCTTGGCTCTATCAGTATTTGGCTTGGTTGTGGATTTTGATACACTAGAGCATTAATTATTCGACCCATACCAGCCACATTAAGGGTGGATATAAGAGAAGATTGGATTAAGCAAAAAATTATAAAAATCCTCTGAAATAGTAAACATGACACTTAAGGCAATTTTTCATCCCTTGAAAATACGTCCTTTATCTGCTTTTAATCCATCGTCATAAATAACTAACAAAGTAGGAACACCACTGCTGTAACTGTAATATATTTATTTTACAAAGTGATGCTTGCCCACTCGGTCCCGGTGAATCTGTCACAGCGAAATCAAAAACTTCTTCCACTGTTATAGCGAAATCGTGAACATCTTCCACGTTCAAGGCTAAATTGTTTGAACATCTTCTACACTAATAGTAAAATTGTGAACACCTTCCATGGTCACAGCTAGTTCTAAACCCCTTCCCACAATCTTGGCAAAATTATTAGCATATTCCATCTTTCGTGGTCACAACACAATAAAGAAACATTTTTCCTCGTCACGGCAAAATTGATAACACATTTGACATCATTGTCTCCCCATGATTGGAAAAATGGTGGTTGTTAAAGTCATTCGTTTTTCATGGAGCATCTTCACAAACGCATTTCATTTCACGATCTCGGAAATAGAGGTTCAGGTTGGCTTGACTCTAACAAAGTCAAAGCTTTCCCCCATAATCATTTTCGGCCCAATAACAAATCCCTCGGGCCTACTGTTGATTCAGCCTAACACAAAATTAATAGGAAACCAAAGATCCCTAGTTAGTAAAAGATATACTTGTCGACTGGAAACCACAGGTGGATAAAACCATGAGTACGGTCATATCACACAGAAAATTCATTGTGATTTCTGAAGATCAAATAATCAAAACCACTGTATAGCTACTATAATAGCACTACTGTAATAGCACCAACAAGTTTGATGCTAATCAACAAATTATTTTCAACATTTGAATCTTTCCGCTTGTTACAGAAATGCATGAGCCGCCGTACTATACAACGTACTCACGCTCTCGCTTGTTTGTACACAACGTGGTGACCTCCAAGTACTTCGACCTAGCCATAGCAGCTGTTATTGGACTCAACGTCATCACTATGGCAATGGAGTTCTACATGATGCCCAAGGTTTTTACTGTCATCAAAATTATTTGATTAAAAATAGTAGGTGTCAATGAAAAAAATTACAAAAGATGGTTTGGAGGAAAGTGCCTGTAAGTGGACTGAGTTGTAGAGTCAAATAACTTTTCCTACAGTCACAAATAACTATTGTAGGCTAAAAATAAAAATAAAAAAACTAGAATTTTTACTGTATAAACATATGGTTTATGTAAACTGAAATCAGTAACAAATAGCTGATTGTTTTTGAGAGAGTGAAAAGACATGTGAGAATGTTTGAAAATAAATGTTTTGAATAGTGGTACCTAAGCCAAAACAATTATTGGTGATAATAGATTTTGGTGGGGAATTGGTTATCATGTGAGTAAGTCAGTGAGGGTATTGTTGAGTTTAGTATTGTGGTTTAAAGTCAGGCTGGCTCAGTGCAACAACAGGTTTGTGTCAGCCACTCCACTGGGTGTGTAAAAAAACAGAAAGAGAGAGCCTAACAGAACAACTTTCTAGTATTTCTTTTTGCTCATGTTTTGATAAATTATTCGAGTAATATTGAAACATTAGCTTGTTTAAGAAAAGAATTTCACTGTTTTTGGTCCCACACTGTTCAGTTATCCCAACATCTTTGTAATTAAGGGTGTTATTTGAGTACAATTGCGCTAAAAGTCTTTTGAAACTTGTAAAACTGTTAAAACACCCTGCAAGGAGAGATTATCAGTTGATATAAGTGGGTAATTAGGCATATTCAAGTTCTTGTTCTAAGCGGAATTTTCTAGTGTTTTTTTTTTTTTTTTTAATTTGCAAAATAAGTTTCTTTGTTTCAGGCACTGTCGTATGCACTCAAGATTTTCAACTATTTCTTCACTGCTGTATTCATCTTGGAATCTATTATGAAGTTGGTGGCGCTAGGGTTAAAATTGTACCTGAAAGACAAGTAAGTAAAGAATTATCATTACCTCTTGAAAAATGCATAGTTTAGGTGTCTCTTGTAGCCTATTTTCTTCCCTAGGGGTCACAGTTGGCACCTTTGGTTAGAGATAAATTGGGACGGCGCCCCTTCTGCCAGGATCAACACAGCTATAAACACGAGCAAAACAGTCTGAAGTGATGACAGTCCCAAAAAAATTAGGAGGGGTGGCAACTCCTTTTGGGGATATAATTAATTGGTCATATTTTACAATCTAATCAATGAACCCCTTATAATGAGAAGATAACTCATCTCTGTCATTCATGTGATTAGACCAAGTAATACTGTTTATCAGCAAAACTTTAAGAAAATATCTCAAACTGAAAGGTAGGGAGAAGAAATAATTTATGAAATTGTACTTTTCTTATTTCAACACATTTTTTTAGAATTTGTTTTCAAAAATTCTTATTATTTAGAGGGAGGGCACCATTTTGATTCTCTCTATGGTTTCTATTTTAATTTAATGATGACTGGTGTAACTGCTAAAGATTAATCTCTTTCTTACACCCAGGATCATAAATTGGAAGTTCTACTATCAAATAATGTGTAACCTAATAAAACCCTCTCAATTGTACTACCAACAAATGTATCTTGTTCTTGGGTAATAATGATAGTTATAAAATGATAGTAATAATAATGATAGTTATGAAAGCTTCAGACCAATATCAATTGTACCAACCATATCAAAGTTGTTTGAATTACTAATGTATAACCAGGTGTATGAATACTTTGAAAGTAATAACATGTTTACTGATAGGCAGTTTGGGTTTCGCTCTGGGAAGAGCACAAATGATGCTGTTGTTAGTTTAGTTATAGATGTGGTTAAAAATATAGAGAACAAAAGATTGGTTTGCTTTCGCTCTTTTGACATGTCAAAAGCATTTGATACTGTTAACCACAACATATTAATCACAAATTAAAATTTTATGGTTTTCAAGACAATTCAATTAAACTTATCAATTCGTATTTAAAAAATAGAGAACAATTTCTTAGTTTCAAAAATGAGTTATCTCTTGGAAAAAATATAGACGTTGGTGTTCCTCAGGGATCTTCTTTAGGGCCACTGCTATTTAATATCTATATCAATGATCTGCCATACAATTTGATAGGTGAAAACATTAATAGTTTTCTTTACGCTGATGACCTAGGCTTGAATGTTTGTTCTGAATCTAGAGATCAAATTATTAATCACATCCTGCAAAATGCTACGGATCTGATTTATCAGTGGTGTAATGCAAATAGATTATGACTAAATCTAAATAAATTGCAAGATTTAGAAATTTGTTTCTCAAATAGGCATCCTCTATTAAATGAGGTAAAACCTTTAAAATTTCTTGGAATTAATCTAAATGCAAAACTAGATTGGAAGGATCACATTGACATAACCTCAACCAAAATGTCAAAAGGTGTATACTGCTTAAGAAGATTAAAAGGTTGTGTAACACAAGATGTTTTGATAACAGTGTATTATGCACAGATACATAGTTTATTGAGTTACGGAATATTGGTGTGGGGTTTCCAATCATACTAGTGTCCCTATTGCTCGAATTCGAGCAATTGCTAAGTATTACAGGCGTTATTTTAAAACGAATTTCAACCAAGTAAGCAAGTTTGTAGCAAACTGTTAAATTAGCAAACTTATTGACTGTTTACAACTAACATATGCTCTTCTTCTCACTTTTGATTTCTGACAACAGCTGGAGTTTCATAACAATTTTTGTTTCCAATGTTAATCTTATGGAGAAATACAAAACTTTAAAGGGCTCCATGGCCTCACTCTCTCATTATTTCCCTAAAAAGAAAGTTTCCTGCACAACTTCACGTTACCCTCATTCCAATGACACCAAAAACATGTCAATCGGTTCAGTAGTTTCGGAGGAGTAATTGTCACAAAAAACCTGCTTGCGTATTAAATAAGTATAGATAGATACCAAAAAGTTATTTAAATTGCAAAAAAGAGCGATAAGGCTTGTAAGTGGTGTACGCTCTAGAACTCACTGTAAACTTATATATTTAAACATTTCAAAATTTTAACTTTGCCTGCAATATATATTCTTCAAGTTCTGTTGTATGTAAAAAATCATTTAGAAATGTTCTCAGAAAATTCAAATAGACATAATTATGAAACCAGATTTAAAAACAACTTGCAAACAGTGCTTTGTAAATACTCAAAGAGTCAAACAAACATTCAATACATGGCAGCTAAATTGTTTAATAATTTATCAGTGGAGTCTCGGGAGTTGTCCTTGAACACTTTCAATTCAAAATTGAAAACATATTTAATACAAAAATGTCCATATAGGCTACAGTGGAGGATTTTTTTACATGTCAAAATATTTCTATTTAATTGTGCCTGTATTTATATATTTTTAATACTAGAACTTGATTGATTACATCTAAGTATTCATTTGCTGTATTGATTTCAGCATTATGTATTTTATGACGATTGTTAAAACATTGTGAAATGTCTACAACAATAAATTGATTTGATTTGATTTGATTTGGTAATGTAATTAATTATATGTTCTGTTTCCAGATGGAATCAACTTGACATAGGAATTGTAATCTTGTCTATTGTCGGTATTGCCTTGGAAGAGGTGGAGTCAAAGATTATTCCCATCAATCCTACGATAATACGAGTCATGAGGGTGCTTAGGATAGCCAGGGGTAAGTTTGTAAGAAGTATAGACTGTAGAAGCCAGCTTTGTAGCTAAAGTTGAAGAATTATTAAGTGTAGCTCAAACATTTATTAAATATGTCTTTACGACAAGATTTTACCGTGTAATAATGTGTGGATGAGATCCCTTGTATTCTGACAAGTCCGAGTCTAGCTGTAAAGAACCGTTGTACTGAAGTTGAAAGAGTCACTCGCAAAGCCCACTCAATTTTTTTAATAAGTAATCTCTGACACTATTCAAATGCTGTGTAATGTATACTTCTGAATGAATAAAGAAATTAAAATTGAAAGTGTGTGAGTCCAAAATTATATTTTCACCCTAAGTTTTCACTACTGACAAAACTTAGACAAAAATATCTAAATATAGTTCACAGTAAATTTTTCCTTACGGTTTGTTTAATAATTTGACATATTCAACAGCCAGTAATTTGCATCAGCATACTCTTTGACAGTGGCTCAATTTAAACTATGTTCGTTTCAATTCTAAAACTATAATCTACAATTTTACCATGGGAATGTAATGTGTCTAGTGTCTAGTTGTATCCATAGTCAAGGTCACACTCTGTTGTAGTACTGAAGCTGCTCAAGATGGCCAAAGGTATCAGAGCTCTTCTAGACACAGTGATGCAGGCTCTGCCCCAAGTTGGGAACCTTGGACTGCTCTTCTTCTTACTCTTCTTCATCTTCGCTGCACTGGGAGTTGAACTTTTTGGAAGACTGGGTAAAAAAATAACTTTTTATCTGATGATTAGTGTGTAGGTTATCAGTATCGGATGCTTCATGAAAGAACTGCTTTTATTGTGGTGTCTAATTTGACACAAGATTGAGTTATAACTACAACTACAATTTTATTTTCCTAACCCTACATGAAAATGACCACATTGCCACACCTGTAAACAGTACGCAAAATAGCTCATTTTGTGTTATTCATTCCCGCACCTTAAATCAGCTGATTTCAATGTTGGTGTTTTTATGAAACACATCTGGTTAGCAAATAATAACATAACTTGAAAAATAAAAATTAAACACAGGCCTAACCCTAATGACATTTTATATACAACAAAAAAAGTTAATCTTTGAGATATGATTCTAATAATTATGTTGGTAGATCAAATGTTGTGTGTATTACGAGCACAAACAGTCATTGCCGCTCTCAAAATACATGTCCACACTCAGTTAAAGCTTCGTGCAGCCATCTACAATTCTCGAGCAGCAATGAGGCAATGACATACTTTTACTAAACTTTACTACGCAGTTCAGGGGCTACAAAATGGAATTTAATGACATACTTTGCGCTCTTGATACATAAATAGCTATTTTTATTCTCTAATATAATTAATATAATATTAGTGTGTATAAAATAAAATTTGTATCACAAACTTGTTATTAAATAAATAGAAACTTTATTTTTATTTAGAGTGCAGTGAAGAACAGCCTTGCCAAGGTCTTGGAGAACACGCACACTTCAGTAACTTTGGAATGGCCTTCCTGACACTGTTCCGAGTAGCAACTGGGGACAACTGGAACGGCATCATGAAGGTAACAGTTATTGCTAGTAACTATGACTACATGGTAATTATGTTATTTTATTGTATTTGGTATTTCACTTTAGCAGCTTTGGGATGGCCTTCCTGACACTTTTCCGAGTAGCTACTGGGGACAACTAGAATGGCATCATCAAGGTAACAGTGTCTGCTAGTTACTGTGACTACACTTTAATTGTGCCATTTAATTTGGTATCTCACTGAATCAGCTTTGGGAAAGCCTTCCTGACACTGTTCCGAGTAGCTACTGGGTATAATTGCGATGGCATCATAATGGTAACAGTTACTACTTGAAACTGTAACTTAAATTTTAACGTTGGGACAGCTTTTGGAACTTCGCTTCCAGTCAATACTGCAGAGTTAACTAGAATAAATAGTTGAAAGTAAATAAATAGTTTAGGTACTTATTTTACTTTTACATCATCACTTTCCCACCCAATAAGTAACCAATGTAATTTGGGTGAAATCTACTTCTGAAACTGAGTAAAATCTCTACAGTTTTGAGAAAAGACTATATATAATTATTTTGTCCACACCAATTTTGACTATATTTGGCCATGTTCAATCTTTTTCTTACTTCATACCTGAAACACAATAGTGGCATGTGCAAGTAATGATGATAACATCTTTTAAAAAAAACAAAATTATTTTTTCCGCTCATTTTGTGCTACACAAAGAGATAAGGGTTCTAATAGTTATGCTTTCAACATAACTATTTTCTGCGCAGGATACATTGCGTGACGACTGTGATGACCAAGCGGACTGTGTCCGTAACTGCTGCGTACACGCAGGGATCGCTCCCATCTTCTTTGTCATCTTCGTACTCATGGCACAGTTTGTACTGGTCAACGTTGTGGTCGCTGTTCTCATGAAGCATTTGGAAGAATCTCACAAACAGGTATGAGATTTAAGATGTCTTTGTTCAGATTCTGGAGCTCAATAATTGAAGGGAATGATTTTCTTGTGTTTAATTCAATTTATTTCACTAATTATTCACATTTTTTTAACAGAAGCTGAAATGTTGTATACTTTTTAAAGAAATATTACTCAATCAGCTTCAAATTATTAATATGATTGTGAACGCTAATTGTTTGAACTGTCAAAATAATTTCATAGCTCGCTCAGGGTGATTCACAAAATGTTTAAGTTTTTAAGTTAATTTCAGTATATTAACCTTTTAATTAGGCCCTATATTACTTTTAGGAACACAAGTCTCTTTTGTAAGATTACCTAGACTTTTTGAACATCTACATTAATCCATTTATCTGCAGATGGAGGATGAGTTGGACATGGAGGTAGAACTTGAGCGAGAGCTGGCGCAAGAACAGATGGAGGAGGAAGAAGAAGAACTTTGCATGCAGTTAGCCCTTGAACAGGACGCGATCCACCGACCTCTCGCCAAAGTGCTGAGCCTTCCTGCAAATTTCACCTTCAGTTCCAGCTACTGTGAGGAAAGCCCGTCTAGAGGTTGGTCTAGTAGTTTATATTTTTGTGTGTTTAAACATTGTTAGCATGTTATGCTTTTTTGTTAAGAGGAAATGCTCCAATTGTTGGTCTTGTTAGTATCTAAATCTACATCTAAAACTTACCTTTTGTTAGATATACCTTACCTTACCTTACCTAGCTGGCCACTCAAACCTAAGCAGGTTTTTGGCCTCTCCAACAGTTCTACGCCATCTTTCTCGGTCCTTCATCATCTCCTCTGTAACGGACATCCTTCTCATATCCCTCCGGACTTGGTCCCACCATCGCAGCCTTGGGCGTCCTAAAGGTATTCTTCCTACAGGTACAGCATCCGTCACTGTTCTCAAGACTGACTCTTCAGGTCTCCTGTAGACATGTCCTGCCCATCAAAATCTTTGGCTTTTAATTAATGCAGTAATATCCGGATCTTTGTAGACCTCACGTAATTCTTTATTTGTTCTAATCCTCCAAATTCCTTCTTCTTCAATTGGGCCATATATACGTCTGAGAATTTTGTAGTATCAATAATTAATAACCCAATTACCGATGGCATCTTGGTTCAAGGAATGATCACAGAGAAGTAAGGCACAGAGAAAACACCCTTTTGGAACAACTGTAAACTTTGAGGTCTAGTTTGTTGTGCTGGAAATATACTTGTGACAAGCAAGAAAGAACCTGAGCGGTGAGCACTGTGCGGATATTCCTATTTAAAAAGACACAGGGTCTTCGTTCACCGTGAGCGTTGTAGTAAATGAGGGCGAGGGGGGCATTGTCGGGCTTTGCTTTAGACACCAGCACTAGTGCTAGACACCACTTAAGTGTACCATTGAAGGTTCCCTCTGTACCTTACTTCTCTGCGGACCGACCCATCCTGGGATCTAACCTACAAAAATTCAGAATTGAAGGCAAGCCCTACTAACATCAAGTAGTCCCCCTATTTGTTTACCTACTCTCATGGCTATTTGCACCTGAGAAGGTCTCACTAACTAACTGCCTTTATTTCTTCTGATCCTGTGTGTCTTCTTCACCAACTTTATTTCATATTTCATATTATTTTTGGCTGCGTGATCTTCCCACGTCTTTGGGTGTCAAAGGAGTATTCCTCCATCCAGGTTTACTTTACATAATAACTTACTATAACTTTGTGTTTTGCTCAGTAAATAATGAAAATGGCTGATTAAACTACTGAAATATTCTTCATGCAGGTACAAAGCGTAGGAGCTCTTGGACAAAAAATAAAGAAGAATTATTCCTGAAGAACAACAGAAGAAGACAAACCCTAACAGGCCCTGCACTGATCCCACCTGCCTACCCAGCCATGGGATATACCACCGTGTACACTACATCTCAGGACAAGGACAACATAGACTCTGGGAACAGGGTCAGTGGAGTTTGTATTGTTATTTTATGTTCATATACTAAACTTGGTTAGTTTGGCAATCCTGAATCTTAGGTGTTCACTATTATTTACGTCTTTTGGATAGCACATTCCCATCCTTTTCCTCGTCGTGTCTTCTGTGTCTCTTTTTATGGGAGGCCTTTGGGCATATCCTTGCTACTTTGACCTTTTGTAACATCCCTCATGTAATTGCATCAGCCATTGGCTCTTTTTAAAAAAAAACCGCTGTAGAACATATGTTTCTTCCATATGTTTCTTCTTTTCTAGGAATATACAAATTTTTCGTTATGGATCTGGATAATCCGCAAATGTTTGGGAGAATTCTATTCTGTTTTTAAAAATCTGCATTGGTCTGTTTGGATGAGCCCTACAATTTTAAGATGCATATCGTTCCATGGCCAACTAATAATCCTACTAGTATGCTGATGCCCCCTTTTGTTGGCCCGAAATCGCTTGCCAATCCTTTCTTGAAGATTTTATCCATCAGTATTATGACTATGTAACTCTGTAATTCTACAACTAACTGATCTGGGATGTGCTTAGATTATTTTTTCTTACTGTTATCCCTCAAATAATGGGATGTAGTGAACTATTGCTCTAAGCTATAACCAAAAGTGACACTGATGCTTCAGCCATTAGAAAAGCTCTTTTGTCCATGTGGCAGTTCAATCTAAGAATCTATTTTAAGTGGAATCAATCCTGAAATTTGTTTTGTTTCTAGTTATTCTCGGATGACCTGAGAAAATCAACAGTACGCCGAGTATCAAGTGACTCTAGCACGAGGCGTCGCTCTGTAGTGGAGCTCACAACTCCTTCACCGTCGCCCTCACTGCTGTCCGTCCCCAGATTGCTCACCGCACCCGGTGGAAGCTGCAGACGACTTATGAGCTTGACTGAGCTAGAGGCATCACCACAGGAGGCAGAACCACCATCAGAAGACATATCTCCCGAGTGTGTCGCCCCCGCAGTGCTGCTGGTGCCTCCCCCTTACCCCCACCCGGAACCATCCCCCTCTCCTTCACCAGACTCTTCCGAACCACCTGAGACCAAAGACGATGTCAGTTACAACTCAAAGAGCGAGATGGACATTCAAATCATGGTGGTGGGGGAAACTTGTTTGCCGCAAGTTGGGCGACAAGACACCCCAGACGGAAAGTCAGTCGAGTCACGGTCAGTTTTGCCTGGCCAACGAGTCAGGATAAGACTGTGCGACACCCGGCTCGACTCGGGTATCGGGGACGATAAACACAGTCAGGAATCGCAACCATCGTCCAGTGGACCTTACGATCCGGTCGACGAACTTTCTTAGTGCACGGTAAAAGTGAGTCGTATCTCGACCAGGTGCGTACCTTTCAAACACTGTAACTTTGTTTGTTTTATAACACGCATCTCTTTATAGGTTTTCGTATTTTCCACTATTTTATACGTTAGACTCGTAGCGACGTAGGAACTCAGTGCATGCAGAGTGGTGCTCTGTCGACAATTATCGTCACGTCTCTCCCGTTAACAAGGTTTTTACAGGGATGATTTCTACTTCAGATTGCTTAGTGCTTGGACGGAATAGAAAGTAAGTATGGTATTCGATTTTTAAATAGGATTTTAAGTATAGCTGTCTTTTGAGAAGGTAACCGTGTGTGTGTCTTGAAAAAATGGCATCGAAAGTATTCAAAACGAAATTGAGGGTTGTTAAGAAATTCTTCAATGCCCTTGCGACCGATCAGTTGTTTTATAAACTGGCACCGCATTGTTGATTACAACTTGTTAAGTTTTGTAGTTAAGGACAGCATTGCACAAAGTTCGGAACTAATATTTGTATAGTGTAGATTAAGTCAAATGTTGTAATGTAATTTGAAGTAAATGTGGAGTATGCCTCAAAGTCAGATAATTTATACTGGCCTAATTATGGTACTTCTTGTTACTCAGATGTACATAAGGTGTTAAGTAACTATTTCCTGTACTTTAAGATCAAACTGAAATAGTTTTCTTCTGTAAACCCAATTTCAAAAATGTATAAAATAATCCTGATTTATCATAAACAATTGTATAGTGTAGAGTTATATTTTTCCTTTCTGTAAAATTATATTTTGTTTAGATATTATTTTCTCCTCTTAGTTTCATTTGAAATTTCACGGCATGCTTAAAATTTGTCAAATAAATTCATATACTTTACGATGGTGGCTCTTAACTTTAAAGTAAAAATCATAGTGATTTTTTCAATAAAAATATGAACAAACTTAAGTAAAATGTACATTGTATTCAAAATTTAGGAAATTATTAGTGTACTTATTCTGACTACCCAGTGATTTTTATTGTAATAATCTTTATTATTGATTATTTCTTACATTTTTAACATTCAAAACCAAACAGGGAAAAACTTATTTAAGCTAAATGGGAACAACTAAAAAACTAATATTAATAACATAAACAAAGACTGTACTGGGCAAGAAGAGCATAGAATCAAAGATAAGAATGAATAAATATTCATAATAATCACAAAGCCTACACATTTCTTTCAAACTGTTAGTTACCATCCCACCTTCAGTTAGGTATACTAATACTGTATTTTGTATAGTAATGTAGTTTTTTTATTGGTAGCTCTTACTGACTTTGAGGCATATTTATCAAATGGCTGCTTACGCTTGAACATTTAAGATCAATTTAAGTTTTCAATTTTATTTCACTTGATTTCTCCTGGAAGTTGAAAGCCAACAGTTGAATTTTTCCATTTCTCTATTTTATTGACTATGCATTGACACCCCGAGTATAGTATAATTCGTACCTTGGGCCGAAACAAAGTCAGGAACTTAAAACGACTGAGAGCTACAAAACCCTTCGGCCCGTGATACGAACGATATTTTTCACCACACTATTCAAAATTGAGAAAATATAATACAATAAATGTACTCAACTACAACTTTAAGGTTATGTGAAGAAATATTTAGAGGAATACGCCAAAATAATAAAAATAGTTGCTAGGCAGTGGTGACAATAAAACAAGTCTGTTTGCAATGCATATGGATACTGCTTGTATATTTATTAACAGCTAATTTCCGGCCCTAGAGTCGCAAAAACCTGCTTGGTCCCCAAATGACGACAGCAAGGTGTGGCTTTCAGCCTTCAATTAACATTTAAAACTGCTAAAAACATCATAGTGTGGTAAAAAAGTTTTTTTTTAATAAATACTGTCACCAATAAATCATCAATTATTGTTACAAAATATTGGGTGACCCGTAAATATAATATTCAACTAAGCCACTTTCCTGCTTTGATCCACACATACAAACGGTTTTTTAAAATTTAAATCAAGCTTTTTTAAAGCAATGTTGAAGCATAATCAGTCATCACATGGAGTAGGTTACGTGTTTTTAACTCGATGTATAGAGGTATTTTAGAAAGTGTATTCGTATGTAATTCTTCTGTAGCCTTCACAGGGTTATGACTAGGTATAGAGCTGGACTCTATATGTTAACGGTTGTTGAATTATTGTTTATTCCGTTATTAGTTGGTCGAAAGATTCTCTCTTTTTGATGTAATACTGTATTCAAAAAATGTTGTCTTTTATTGATTGTTGGCGACATAAGAAATTGCTTCATTATATTTTTGGAAAGTTAAGTCTTAAATAACATTTTGTCACAGGATGAATATTGTAATCTTAAAAATTAAATGTTTAATGCATACTTTACTAATAATATTTAAAATAAAATGTAATAATTGTACATCAATTTAAAAAAAGGCAAAACTGATTTCACAGTTTTATTTTTATTTTTGGTTCTGTGTGATTTTTAGTGTTGTCTTTTGAGTTGCTTTTATATTTCATATCTATCTATTTAATTTTTTCACTGTTGCACAGATTATATTAAATCATTTTAATCGAGTTAGGTATTAACTTTTTTCTATTATTTGAATATTCAAAATGTAATTTAATATTGTACCTAATTTTCGTCATGTAAAAATCTTAAAGACAACCTTATTGGATTTGGAAAATTCACTTAATCATGAACAGTGAAAGTACTCTTAACAAAAAATTTGAAATTGCATTAACAAAATGTGAAAAATCAGTTTAAAAAAAAATCTTGACTACTAAAAACGGAAAAACAATACTAATCCCTAAAGTGGAACTTTGTTTCTTGTTTCTCGTTTCACTGTTTCGTGACTCTGTTAAGTTTGTTGTTGTTGTTTGAAATGTTTTCTACTTAATCTTAAGAATTGCTACGAAGCACTTGTTTTCTTCTAGACTGTTTTATATATTTTATGGGACAAGCGGCTGTTGAAGAGAGAACATGTCACTTTAGAACTGGTTACTTTTTACTAAACATGTAAACAATCAATTTGGTATCCTATGTTAATTTAATTTGGTTTGCTTTCAAAGTGTCTTGACAAGTTAGTCACAAACCAAATAAAAACAGTACGGTACAATTTATTTACACTACTTTTTTTGTCTACTGTACCTTTAATCTTTTTTTAATTTTTATTCTTAGTTTGATTTTTCCTTGGTGTAGTGATGGCTTTGCACTTAAAACCTAATAACATTTTTGAATGCTTTTAGGTCTTAAAAATACCTGTACGGTTTGTTGTGGTTTTTTTACTCAAAGTTATAAATAATTAAAGAAAATTGTTATTTGTCTTTAAATTTAAATTAAGCCCTGCCCAATATATCAAATGCAATAGGATCTTTGTCTTGATTTGAGGCTAACAATATTTTAACTCTAGAAATATTTCCAAAAATATTAGAAAATACATTTGGATATATGTTTTCTTTCCAATATTCTCAATATTTTACCAAAATACTTGAGTATGCTTAAGTGCTTGAGTGTTGCATATGTTTTTTTTTTTAAGTAACCAGTTTTATTGTATGGTTTAGGCCAATCTCTGATCTTTAAACTACTTAAATTGTTAAAGTATAAGATCAGTAAAGTGGTTAATACTCGTTACCCTTATTTATATATTTAAGGTAAAAACTACATTTTATTTAGAGTGAAATGCCAGCATTGTGTTGTACAGGCCTAATATATATTACCAAATTATCATAAGTCGTAGATAAACTCAAATTTTAAAATTTGATTTTTATATTTAAATTTCTAAAACTGACAATCTAGTTCTTCAGCCTTAAAAGCCGAAATTAGAATAGTCAAACCCTCGTTATAATACAGTAATTCCTTGTTACCATTAGATTGTTTTGTTTACATATTTATCCTAGGGTTTATTTATTTCTAGAATTACTTAAACTTTCGTTCAGCTGAATGAAGCTGGAAAATATCCTTGTCTAATTAAAATTACAATTTAATCTTAAAACTGTTCCTAAAAGAATTTTAAGGATTTTTTGTGGTTTACCTTACTGTCTAGGGATAATATACTTGGTGTAATGTAGTTATAATTTTGCTATTTCACAAATGTAATTCAAGAAGTTATTCTGATTTTATCAGAAGTTCAATTATTTCTCGAATTAATAAAATGTATTTGGACACATAAAAACTAACGTTTATTTTTCAAAGTCGAATGGTGATAAAAATTTAAGTAACTTTTTCAGACTAGTTGAAGTTCAGGCAGGCTTGAATCCGTTTGTTTGAGTTAGTACTTTAACCATGACTGAGAGCATTAATAAAAAAATTAAACTTCCGCAATAAATGATTGGTTAATACTTCAATATCTACCCTAAGATTCTGTTTCAACCTTATAGAATTTCAGGTTTATCAGTTTTGCACTGATCTATAGATATTGCCACACAAGCATCAAAACCTGTAATCCAATAGGGTTGAAATCGGATCACTTGACAGAAAGGGATTGTAACCTTTTATTTGTCTGCTGCGATCCAGACGGAAAACACTAAGTTTTATCATGAAACTGAAATTGTCATGCTTTATTGTTTAGATCCAGGAATTTTAAATTGCATTTCTTCTACACTTGTACTTTAATAACTTTAAGTTATGTTTCTTCAAACCAATTACAGATCTCTTTAATATTTACCTAACCAATATTATTTAAGTAAATTTAGGGTTATCTTCTAATATTTTTTACTTGACCACTTCTTGAATTACATAGCTGAGCAGCACCCTAATTTATTATTTAAATTGAAACAAATTTACCATACACTCAGTAGTCAATTCATTAGAAATAAAAGGTCCAAATAATGGTGAGCTTTTACTATATAAGTAGCCTAAACTGTTTGAGATCCCATCTCATAATATTTAATATAAAACCTACTTACCCTGTAGTACATATTGATCCTTCGTACCATTGATTTGACGGGTGAAAATCAAATGATTATTTAAAAATTTTTTTTCAATGTATCTTGGTTGAATCTTTTTGTGGACTACCTATCAATTATTCAATTATTATTATCGTTCTTTTGAATGTCTACATTCTTGAATATTACGTTTATCCAAAAGCATTTTAGTCTGTTCACAAAATGTAGGCAGTTTGAGGGGATGTTCCTTTGCTACTTGTTTTCATAGTATATAATATGTTGCCCTGATTGACATTTTGACAAACCTCAGCTGTTGAGCTATTTTTTTGGAGGTAGGATCAAATGAAGGGAATAGATTCCTTCCCCTAAAACTGCCTAAATTTTTTGAACGGATTATAGTAAAGAGGTGCATATTATATTTAAGTCTCTCTCAATAATTTGTCAATACTTAACCATTATTATATAATTTAGGTACATTTGTGTTATAAAATCTGAAAAAAGACACTATTATTAAAATTTGTTTTGTTATTTTATCTTCATTAGTTTAAGGCTTTATGTAAGATCTGTTTAGTCCATAATTTATGGGTAGTCCAGATATTATTTTTTCCTATACTTTCTTGAAGAAGTGTTTGCTAAGAGAAGCTTCTATAACCTATAAACCTAGCAAATCTGTGATATATTCTGTATCGACTGTTTAGAAAATGTAGTTTCTTGTGTATTTGATTGATTTTCTCTTTTCATTCCCAATTAAAGTCTTCAGGGATGACTGTGAATTTGAGATTCATGATGTTCAAAGTTTTTCCCCGAGGTTATTATATTTTGTCTAGGGAGTACGAAGGAATAAAATATATCTCATTTATTATTTTTTTTTGTAGTTTACGAGTTTTGTGCACATTGACTGTGTTTTATAACCAAAAGTACTGTGCTTTAGTAATTTACTATAGCAATAGCTCTGTAACACTTTTCTCTCTCTTCTTAATTTAATTTAAAGTTTTCAATTACCTTAAAAAATGTGGTGTGAAGAGTATTTTAAGTCTATAAAATATTGCAAAAATGATTGTATACCTTCATTATATAGTCAATGATACCTTAAGTAATCAATGTGTAGGCTGGATACACAATGTGGGATGTTTGATGTTTCCTTTTAGGAAGAGAGTTAAATACCAACTTCGAACATGACATCTATATTTTCAAAGTCTTCCCTGAATGCCCCTCTTTTTCTCATGTATAGTACACCTAGTTAAGGTACAATGATTTAGGTTCAGTTTATTATATTTTCCACTTCTTTCGTCTGTTGTATTATTATAAATAAATTAGTTATTCTTACAGAATTCTAAGTTTTTATTTACGACCCATAAATTGGATTAAGTTGTGGTTGTATTATGAGTTAAAGTTTAGAGTTTTCCAGTTCCAAAAAAAATGTCCCTCCCTTGAGCAATTTTCCCTTTATTTTTAAATAAATTTCCCTTTTAGCTTTTACTTTAGGTCTTGTGGTAAGACGTGAACATGGGACGGATTTACTTCTTGATTTTGGGGTCCACAGAGGCCAAAAACACCATCATTCTGTTAAAATTCATATATGTCTGTTAGCACGATAATTTGTTTGAAAATCATCTGATTTTGATGAAATTAGGACTAATGTGTAAGTTAAACGGGTGAGGTTCATTTGTCCGAGTTGCTAAAAATTATACAAAATATAAGGAAAATCAGTTGTCAGATGTTCATTTGTCCAAGGTTTGATAAATAACAAATTATACAGGGTTATTACAAATGATGTTCCTGATTTTGATTATAAATATTACTGGGTTAATTTGTTTCAAGACTATTTTAATTGGTACCATTGGAAAGAAAAACTCATAAAGTTTCATTTACATTGGTTTGGGTGCATATCAGCTGTTTGTCAAGTCAATTGTTGTAAGTGTTGTGTAATGGCTGAATTTGAAGGCAGGAAAGCTTTTTGCCAGTTGGAATATTACATTAACCAATCTATTATTAGTGAGCAACGACACTTAAGAACCAGGTTTAACGATTATCCTCCTAGTAACCACTATATTGGCAAGTGACACTTGAAATTTAAGAGAAATGGCTGCATTTGAATGTTATCTGTAGTAGGGCTGAACTTAACAATGTGCTGCCTGAGATATGGAACGAGCTCGGTGGTCCGAATAATGACACACCCCTGAACTGGCCTACAAGATCTCCGGACATCACCCCCTGATTTTTTTCTTGTGGGGATACATCAAAGATAAGGCGTACACATCACCATTATCAAGCATACTTGAGATTCAGCAACGGATTACCAAAGCTATCGAAACAATAGACCTAGACACACTTTTCAAAGTCTAGCAAGAGCTTGACTACATTATTGACATCTGTCGTACCACAAGGGGTTCCCGTATCGAGTATTTACAGTTCTGTGTATCTGTGTCAAAACTTTTTGAGTTTTTCAAAAGTTGTAACCATTTTATTTCTTTCTATAACAAATAAAACTATATTTCATGTATGTATGAAATCATGAACATCATTTGTAATAACCCTGTATTTAGACAAATCAACTGTCCCAAGTTTTCATTTATCCGAGGTTGGTTTAAATAATGATAGGATTTGGTTAAATTAACTGTCCGAGCTGTTAATTATTTGTCCGAGGTTTTAAGTTATTTAAAAAAATGTTGAAATATTATTTGTCCGAGTTTTTAATTGTCCGAGTATCATCAGTGCCAAAAGTCTCACCGCCGCCGAGGCCCCGTTACAGTTTGCGCAAAAAGTAATCATACTGACACCGCATATTGCTGCCCCAGGTAGCCGGGTAATCTGGCGGAAGATGGAATGTAACCTAACCTAACCCAACCCAAAAATGAAGGGAGAAATTAAAGTTGGACTTGAAAAAATGCCGCATATTGGCACAATGACGGTGCGCTTGTGGCGATGGGGAGGGGGGAGGTAGATTTGGCCGTCCCGCTTTGCCAGTGTCTATCTGGCACTAGTGGCGCAATCCCGGTAGACCGAAACTAACGTAACCATCCATTCTACGGCGAGCGTGGTGTCGGTCTGATTACTTCTTGCGCATACTGTACATCATTTGTATATCTGTTAAAGTACTTACTAGCTGTGTACCACGGCCGCACAATTTGTTTTTCAGGATTAATTTTGCCAACAGTGTCATTTAGAGGCTTCATAGAATAAAATTATAAATGCCTCAAATTCAATTTTATATTTTTTATTATGAAATTAAACCGTCATAACCTAACCAAACGTGCTGACAATGAAAAAATCTAATGAAGGTTTATTAATCGAAAAAGTAGTTCTGTTCATAAAATAAAATTATAAATGCCTCAAATCCTATTTTATATTTTTTTTATTATAAAATTAAACTATCATAACCTAACCAGACTTGCTATAATAATGAAAAATCAAATGAAGGTTTAACCGAAAAAAATATTTCTGTTCATAAAATAAAACTATAAATGGGTCAAATTCAATTTCATAATGTTTTAATTATAAAATGAAACCGTCATAACCTAACCAAACCAACCAAACTTGTTGATAATGAAAAAAATCAAATTAAAAAAAATAGTGCTACTGTTGAGATTTGAACCCGGGTTCTTCGGATCATCAGCCCAGCACTCTATCCACTACACCGCCGCTATTGTCCTCGGCGGTCCGCCGAGGCCGTTGGCAACAACCGTATCGTCGCGGTAATGATGTCCCCTTAGCCAATCAGAAGCCTCAAAATAATACTGTAGGCAACACTAATCCTGAAATAAAAATTCAGCACCACGGCCCCCTTTAACTCCAGGCCGCGGCCTTCGAACTGGCAACGTCGCAAGTGGTGTTGTAACAGCTGTTTTGTTTGGAAGCAGCTAATGGTATTTGTGTATTTACGAAAGATTAGTTACTGGACTATGTCAATATTGACTCCCCTTAAAATTGTACAGATATAGATTTTTAATTCATATTGTTTCGGTTTTCAATTCTGTATGTTATATTTTCAATATTTCAATAAATTTATGTTCATAAATTTAAATCAATAAAGTGCAAATTAATGAGCTGATGTCACCTGTCTGCCATGTTATCTTATGGGACGTCTGTCACTGAACAACACCACTTGCGACGTTGCCAATTCTACCAGGCCGCGGCCTGTAGTTAAAGGCGGCCGTGACTGTACTAGCGAAGCGCCTCGGCGGCGGTGTCACTTTGGGCGCTGATGATGATACTTGGACAAATGAAATCTCGGACAGTTGACATTTTAATATACTCGGACAACTGCTATTTTAATTAAACCAGGAAATAAAAACTCGGACAGTTGATTTATCTAAATATTATTAGTTATATTTATCAAACCTCAGACAACTGATTTTCCTAATATTTTGTAATTTTTAGATTATAAATTGTAATTTTTTCTCCATTTTGGGTATTGCTTCAGTAAGAGTGAAACGCAATGGGATATCGACCATAAAACCGCTATATGTTGCTCGTTGCTCCCTGACGGATACAGTCCTATTGGGTAGAACATGGATCTGACATTTGCAGATTAAACTTCAATAATATCGATGAAACTCAGAGGGTCAATAGGTTCTATAAAACATGACGAACTTTATTTGTACTTGAACCGAAAGTTGAGGATGAAGTTAGAAATTTTTAAACCGCAATAGTCAAGTCAACTCACACACAACCGTGGATGGTTCACAAAGTTAACCATCCAGTAATCTTCAAATACAAAGACAGGGTTCTAGTCCAGTGCGCATGGGAGAGGTTTGGAAATCTGGCAAAGTTGTGACCCTGCTCGGAGAGCTCCATTACACAATCAAACTGGGTAACGGTTATGTTAAAGAAACGCATCAATCAACTGAGGCGACGAAGTACCAAGAAATCGATTCCCAGTTTGATTGTGTAAAGGAGAGCTCCAAGCGGCACCTTGACGTGTTCCCCTACCAAGTCCACTTGTACCTATTTCTTGCCCAGTGGTTATATCATAGCTGCCACTCTGTAAACGCCTTTAGTCTTCGTGAACGTAGCATCAATAAACAATCACAAACCTATAACAACACAAAAAAAGGTTTAAATTAGTCAAAAGATTTTGATTTTTTCATCTTTATAATATTTTTTCATTTTTTACAATATTGTAAGAAAATGTTTTCAATAATCAACGGTATTACCGTTTGATAGCCTTCATACCTTCTCCTACTCTTTTCCTGTCTCACAAAAGTGAGATAGCGATTGTTTCCAATCCAATCCCAGTTCCCAATGTGTGTGAGTAGTGTATGTATGTGTCAATTTTTCAAAGTTCAAGTCTATTCTTCGCCCGCCCGTCCCGTACCGTTCCCTACCCGATCTATTTTCCATTCTAATTAAATTTGCTATTAGTGCTATTTTCCTTTATCATCAGGACTACCACAGTGAAAGTAATCACAGTGTATGTTTTGACGTGAATAATTGAACGTTAAATTTATTTTGTTGAAGTGAAATAATTTTTTCACTCGAGATGTGTGATGTAGGCCTACCATAAATAATCTAGATGAACACTCACATTTTTCGGCAAAGTTAGTTAACTTAAGTTTGGTTAGTAGGAAGGAAGTGCAATTTTCATGTTGGCCTAAAATTATGCTTTTTAGGAAGTGAATAGTTCTTGTTAATGCGTTGGGAAATGTACTTTATTAGTTGTGCACCAAGAGGACACCTTACTGGCTGATATTCTCAGGTAACGGTAATTTAGGCCTAGGTCTAGACCTACTAATACTTTAACGTTAGGACTAAGCCTATCCTATCATGGGATTGTTCTGCGGGACACTTATGAAACTACAGCCTTAGCTAGCCTACATTTAAAACTCGAATAAAACTGACACTGTCCTAGGTTAACTTCCTACTTAAACCTAGGCCTTTTCCTCCTTGTTTTACCAATACCAATCCGATTCGGTCCAGAGGAAGGAAATATTCCCCATGTTAGGCTTAGTTTTGATAATCTTGTCTAACCTCAACATTCAGCTAAACTAGGAGGTTAACCTGTTGTAAACATCTAGCCAGTGACAGCTCATTCTTGGTGGAAATCCCACTCCTCGTATGGAGGTCCTCTACCCTCTCCACCTTAAGATAATTTGGTTAATATGCATTTTAGGGTTTGCACGCGATTTTTGAATTTTTTTTTTTCATTCTACTCGAAATTTAACGCTGATTCCGAAAATGACGTTCTTTTTCCGCGGAAAACGACCATAACGCGGAAAAACGACCAAAACGACCAAAAACTCTTTTTTTACCAAAACACGTCATGTGGGTACTCAAATTAACCGGAATATTTAGCAGATCACGACTATGCAAGAATTTTTTGGATCCGAGGTCAAATAAGCGAGATATTCACGAAAACGTGATACTACCAGCAATAAGTTAACTCCAACTCACTAGGGGACAGGTGGGAATTCGGGGTTTTGGGTGGGGGAGACATCTAACGTGGTTTATCGTTGTAATTTAATGTGTAAAAAATAATGGGTAATTAGTCGGGAGAATTATGGGAGATATGCTTGAAATTGGGAAATTTTCAGTACCAACCTATTCATTGGTTGTAGTAGCACTGCCATGTTGCTCGTTAGGTTAGGTTAGGTTGGTTAGGTTAGGTTAGGTTGGTTAGGTTAGGTTAGGTTGGTTAGGTTGGTTAGGTTAGGTTTGGTTAGGTTGGTTAGGTTAGGTTAGGTTGGTTAGGTTAGGTTGGTTAGGTTAGGTTAGGTTGGTTAGGTTAGTTAGGTTAGGTTGGTTAGGTTAGGTTAGGTTGGTTAGGTTATTTTGGTTAGGTTAGGTTGGTTAGGTTAGGTTGGTTAGGTTAGGTTAGGTTAGATTGATTAGGTTAGGTTAGGTTAGATTGATTAGGTTAGGTTAGGTTAGGTTGGTTAGGTTAGGTTAGGTTGGTTAGGTTAGGTTAGGTTGATTAGGTTAGGTTAGGTTAGGTTAAGTTAGGTTAGGTCAGTTTGGTTAGGTTAGGTTAGGTTAGGTTGGTTAGGTTGGTTAGGTTAGGTTTGGTTAGGTTGGTTAGGTTAGGGTAGGTTAGGTTAAGTTAGGTTATGCATAGTATCATCCCTTTTACCTGTTAAATTAAAACATAAACACCAGATAACACAGACAAAAGTTAGAGCAAAAATCCAAAATAGCATCGCATATTTACGTGAAAATCTCGCTTATTTGACCTCGGATCCAAAAAATTCTTGCATAGTCGTGATCTGCTTAATATTACGGTTAATTTGAGTACCCACATGACGTGTTTTGGTAAAAAAAGAGTTTTTGGTCGTTTTGGTCGTTTTTCCGCGTTATGGTCGTTTTCCGCGGAAAAAGAACGTCATTTTCGGAATCAGCGTTAAATTTCGAGTAGAATGAAAAAAAAAATTTCTAAAATCGCGTGCAAACCCTAAAATGCATATTTACCGATAATTTTAACTGTGAACACTTTTAAGAACTTAACACGTTCGCTACCGAGCGACGCACATTTGCGTCGGTCCGGTCACTCCTAAGTTACAGACTAAAAGGAATGATCATGACGTTCCTTACAGACCAAGTGATATGGGAATAACATTGCCGACAGACCAAAAGAGAAATATCGTTTAAATGGACTAATTGACTTCATAATAACCTTAAGTGAATTAGTAAGCAATAAATATTGTTTTTATTTTTCGTTATGAGCTAAGTAATTATAAAACGCCGCATATATGCGTCGGTCAGTCTATTTAATGAAATCCAGTTAAAAAGATTACATAGGCCTACATTTGCGTTTCAATAGACCAGGCGACGCACGTAAGCGTCATTGTAAATTTGGTTGTTTCAAGCTTTTACACAAACAAATAAAGAAACTCCACTAAACACTAGCCAAAACTGCAAAGGTTATAACGTTTATATCTGTTCTGTGATGTCACGGAATACACAATGTTTAAACAACAATGTTGCCAACTGTTGTGTGACGTAACCAACCGTCATATCCACAGACCAAGCGACGCACATTTGCGGCAGATATCCCTCTAGACTGATACGATAAAATCCGAGCTTTAAAATAGACCGTTGCTAAGAAATACGCTGTTTAATAACATTAGAACACTGACGCAAATGTGCGTCGTTAGTCTATTTCAATGTGACCAGCTGACGCAAATATGCGTCGGTGGTCTATTGTGAGAAACGAGTTGACGCACAATTGCGTCGCTGGTCTATGCGAAAGTAAATTCCATATAATTGTGGTAGCGAACGTGTTAAGCTGAGGCCTGATTTGTATGGTAGGCCTACTGTAAGCTTGTTTGTCAGCGATTTGGTTGACTTAACAAATTCAATCTCTGAACATCCCTTAAAAATCTGAAATAGGCTAGGCCTACACTAGGTTTCTTTGTAAAGTATAAGGTTACCATTATAACGGTAGGTATCAATCTACCTACAAGAAACGTCCTACATACTTACTGCAGTTTGGTAGGGCCTATATTTCATGGTTGGTTTGGTGTAGTTTAGAACAGTTTCATTTTATAATCAGCTGGTAGTTAATGTATAATGTAATAAATTATTGGGTGTAAACTTAAGTGCAACTATAACCTGGGTACGGTATAGGCTATAGTTGGGCTCAGAGTCTTAACTGACATAGGTCAGCGAAGGGATCAGTAGGCCTAGGTTATGGGAGATTATTTCAACCATAATAAGTTACCACACTGTGAACACTCTTTGTGATTAACTTATGTTTTGGATTGAATAACTTGCCATCTTAAGAGTAGGTTAATAGGGGTTTCAGGAAGGTTAGGTCTAGTACCTCCGGGGCACTTAAGAAGCCAGCGAACCTGGTTGGTAAGGCTTTTGAAGCTGCAAATTTCTCAGTGACTCTCAGAATGTGAGTTTTTGCTTAACTTAGCACCATTGACTGTAGTAGTTAGTCCTAAGTTAAACCATGACTTTCTTGCAAGGAAACGTGAAAACATTGATGATGACTAAGCTATGCTGCTAAAGGATTAGGCCTAGATAACTTACCTATCCAAAATTATCTTTTAATAAAAAAAAAACCTCAAGTCAAATAGTCAGTCGGGAGAGCAAATAGCTGGATCTTAAGGGTGCTTCCAAATGGTTGGAGACAAATAATTACCTGTTAACCTAGACCAGAAGACTGTACCGTACTTGATCAGTCTCTGCTAGAAACTCCTCCCTTGACGAATGTGTCTTTATTTATTTCTAGATAATTATTATAGGCCTATTATTTATTTCTCTCTCAACGGTTACCGTACACCATTTTACAATTAGGCCTATCTTCAATTTAGTCAATAGTCAATAGACACACAAACAACTAGTCTTCATCGTGGCTTTACCCCTGCCTGTGTTAGAATAGAGTTTTCCTCCAGGGGAATTTATTTTTATGGAAAAATATGCATTCTATCTAGCTAGCCGGATGTTTTAAGAGAAAGCAATACTGTACCCCGACACACTTCTTTCTAGGAACTGATTAGCTGTATGGGCTATTAACTAACAGATGTGTCCAAGGAATATGTCGGCCTTGGTCACTAACAAGACTACAAGATCCACTCATCCTACACTCATCTCCATTCATACTTATTTTAAAATACCTACTCTGTTTGGTCGCCATTTCAATGAAAAGTATTAATGTATTGAACATCATAACTTATTTTGGTCTCTCTATGTGCAGTAGTCTCCTGTCGATCATGAAGGGATGCATTAACAATGTGTCATCAAAGATTGCTTACTTCTCGGCGTACACATGGCATTTACTTAAGAACAAATAGCCCTAGAGGCTTACGTACATTGCTACAGTTACAGTCCGCGGTTAGATGTAATGCACAGCAGAAGTCAACAGACAACACATAGGATATCCAAATAAAATAGGGTTGTTAAACAGAGCCCTAAAGCTACATATAGATTTATACCATTTTAGATTTATATCTCCCATAGTTGATAGTTGGTACCAAATAGGAGGAGTAGGCCTATTTGTAAATAAAAAGCAAAAGTGTGTAGCACAGGCCTTGTAATAATAATTAGCCTCAATAGCAGGCTCAATAATTAGCCTATGTAAAAAATTGCAAAAAAAAATTGTAAAAAAAATTGCAAAAAATTGTAAAAATTGCATTGTACGGTACTGTAGCTAAATATTAATAAATTAAGAAGGTGATTAAAAATATACCTACATAGGTCTAGTAACACTTGAAACTTGAAACAATTTCATTCATACTTTTAGTTAACTCTGAAGAATCTATCGAAGATGTTAAGTGGTAATCGATTTTGATTGAACACTCCAATCTTTATTAGACCTGATAGGTCGAATCAAACTATAATATAATTGACGTGTATTCCAAATTTACCTTGCTATTACATCCGTTCTGTTCGGGCTGTTATTTGTTATCATGAAATATAGGTAGGCCTAGTCTCATTCTCACATTTCTCTGAAACATTAGGAAATAATAATTTGACCCAGTAGAGATTCTTAATTGTCTCATTTGCATCAAGAATCGTAGCCTATTCTTTATAAATTTGTGTCCATCCCCTCCTCCATCTTTTCTGGCTAGTACCCTTTGTGGTTTGGACAAATCTATCCGCTTGATCATTGATCCCTGAACTAAAATATCATTGAAAAAAACATTGTACACCATCCATATCTTGAAGTAAGTAAAGTTAACTTAATCCATGAATTTTTGCCACAGGGATGGGGAAGCTTTTAACCCTGGAACATTAGTCTATGGGCATTTCTCG